CCCTGCTTGTGTTCCCTCTTTCGCTGTGTCTCTCTCTGTCAAATAAATAAATAAAATCTTTAAAAAAATAAATAAAAGAGAAAAGTTTTATTTACACAAGATTACTTTTCCTTCTTTAAGCATCTACTCACACTACTTGGCTCTTCAAGTGCTTAACACCTACAAAAGCATTCATTATAAATGCTTGTTTTTTTTAAGATTTTATTTTTTTAAAAGATTTTATTTAATTATTTGAAAGAGAGAGAGAGAGCACCAGCGTGGGGGGCGGAGGTGGAGGAAAGCAGAGGGACAGGGACAAGCAGGCACCATGCTGATCACAGAGTCTAATGCAGGGCTTGATCCCAGGACCCAGAGATCATGACCTGAGCTGAAGTCAGATGCTTAACCGCCTGAGCCACCCAAGTGCCCCAGATTTTATTTTTAAGTAGTCTCTACACCCAACATGGGGCGTGAACTCACAACCCCAAGATCAAGAGTCACACGTTCCACCAACTGAGCCAGTCAGGTGCCCCATAAATGCTTTTTAAAATTGCTTTAAACATTTGTAAGTTAAAGAACAGAATAATGTTACAAACTTTTAGAATGTAAAAATTACTAAGAAAAATCAAGATGTGGAGAAAATAAAAGTATAAATTCAAAATGTTTCTTTCCTAGTAGAGAGTCAATACTCTATCTAAAACTAATAATTAAAAAATAAAAACAGGGAACAAGAAAAAACCAAATAGGGGCACCTGGGTGGCTCAGTTAAGCATCTGCCTTCTGCTCAGGTCATGATCCCAGGGTCCTAGGATTGAGTCCCACATCAGGCTCCCTGCTCAGCATGGAGTCTGCTTCTTCCTCTCCCTCTGCCCCTCCCCCGTTCATTCTCTCTCTCTCTCTCTCTCATAAATACATAAAATATTGAAAAAAAGAAAAAGAAAAAACCAAATAACCCAAATAAAAGATGGGCAAAGGATTTGAACCGACATTTCTTCAAAATGATATACAAATAGCCAACAAGCTTATGAAAAGATGTTCTACTTCGCTAATCATTAGGGAGATACAAATCAAAACCATAATGAAATATCACCTCATACCCATTAGGATAACTACTATCAAAAACAAAACAAAACAAAACAAAACAGAATAATCAGTGTTGACAAGGATGTGGAGAAACACAAGCCTTGTGCACTGTTGGTGGGAATGTAAAACGTGCAGCAGCTACAGAAAACAGTATGGAGGGTCCTCAAAAAATTAAAAACAGAATTTCCATTTGATCCCATAATTCCACTTCTGGGTACAGGTCCAAAAGAACCAGACATAGGGACTCCGACAAATTATTTGTACACCCATGTTCATAGTAGCATTACTCAAAATAATCAAAAGGTAGAAGCAACCCAAGTGTCCATTAACAGGAATGGATAAACAAAATGTGATATATAAACACAAAGGAATATTATTCAGCCTTTAAGGAAATTATGGGACACCTGGCTGGAGCAGTCAGAGGAGCATGCGACTCTTGATCTCAGGGTCCTGGGTTAGAGCCCCACATTGGGTGCAGAGATTACTTAAATAAATAAACTTAAATAAATGAATGAATGAATGGAAGGACATTCTGACACATGGATGAACTTTGAAGACATTATGTTAAGTGAAATGGGCCAGTCACAAAAAGACAAATACTGTATGACTCCATTTA